TATTCATCATTAAAAAATGATGTCCACTTAGTTACTTAATGACTTTCTCATCAGTGCAGTAATATTTAACTGGCCTGTTCACAAAAAAAGGAATGACCAGTGATCTATGAACTCCTACAATATGTGCTCCCGAATCCATTTGCCAGGCTCCTTGCTTTTTGTCCAACTCTAGGGAAAAAGTTGAGGCCAGACGTGATTCATCACATGTAGGGCAGCCAATTCACATTTTAAACTTTATAAGCTCAAGGAATGGAACAGCTGTGTAACACTGACCATTTAAATGATGATGTAGGCAAAAGACACACTCGTAGTTCATATTAAAGGTGAAATATATTTGTAGTAGCAGAGTTAGCCCTAAATAATTGCAGATGTCTAGGATGTAAGAGTAATTATAACAAACAATTCAAATCCTAAAAAAGATTAATGTTAGAGTTCTTTGCTGACCTTGTGTACGGATGTACAGAGGGGCATGGTAATTAGATGAGATGGCTCCTCTGGACGGACCTATGCGCACAGGCTAATACATGTTCCCTCTCATCTCTCGCAGGAATTGGGCACATGTGCATATCCGTGTACACTGGGGCTCACATGTACTTGTGACAGATGTTGGGGTCAAATGGGCTATTTAAACTGGGCCAGTGGTCAGAATCAGTGCTGCTTTGTCTTCAGCCTCCTGCTGTCGCCAGTACAGGTTGAATTATGCAGGCCGTACATGGGTCGAATTCCGAACTAATTTTCTTTAGAAAATCGGAAATGTTGTGCATTTTGTACCCCGATGGTGCCACCATTGATTTCGAAATTCAACCAACCGAGCCTTCAATTTCACCTTATGTTGCTACAGAAAAGAATTTTTGTGGCAAAGAATTTTCTTTTCTTTCCAGGTCACAGTTCACGTTGGTTTCTTTTTTGTTTATATTTCTGTGACCCACTAATGTGCGTCATTCGAATGAAAATTCTTAGAAAAGATTTTCGACCCGTGTATGGCCTGCTTTAGTCTGCTGCTTACTGGAATTTTCTGCTGACTTCACCTGCTCGGCATGGACACCTGTCCTGCTACTTGCAAGATTTACAGGTACTCATGACACTTTGTACTTCTGCACCTCCTGTTTACACTACCAGGGGTCTGGGTCAGAGGTGTAAAAGATGCCTTCCTCATCATATCAGGCTTTGCTACCAGGTACGTGATACCTTGATATCTTTTATTAGCTACGAGGACTCAAAATTACCAATAGTTAGGCAACAGTCAGTCATCACTGGTCTTCCTGCTGTGAATGCACTGATTGGCCATGTTTTTTGTTCCTTACACAATGGTGGAATTGGTTAGGGGCTGGGTTGGCACTAGGGTTAGGATTAGAGATAGGTTCACCTTAGGGTCAGGCAAAGTTTAATTTAGGATTACTTCCTGTCCGGCTCATGTACATAAATGGGAACAGCACAGGAGCGGGTTGCCGTTTATAAACGGCGCCTGCATTCACAGCCTGTGCGCGCTCCATGGGAACACCGATCTCTGTACGGGACCTCTGTGTGAGGTCCTGATTCATGTGATCACTGATTGGCCAATCAGTGATCACATGAATAGTAGTAAGCAAGATGTCACTTCCTGACATCGTTGCTTACTACTTGTGAAATCTGTGAATGAAGACAGAGGTCACATGGTACAAGGCTATTCACAACAGCTTTGTACCATGTGACAAGCTGTGACCAATCACAGCTCTCACAGTATTTCTCAATGGCTGCAAGAATGCAGCTAGAAAGAAGGAGAAATGATTGCTTTTACAGCCTTTATGGGTGTAAAAGCAATCAGTGTAAAAAAAAAAAAAAAAAATCTTCATCACCCCCTTCAAGTAGTACAGTGTCACTATGGTGACACTGTACTGCTAGGGTGACAGTATGTAAAAAAACAAACAAATTATAATACAAAAAAAAATAAAAATGTAAAAAAAAATTTGAAAAATTATAATTCTTGGTTGTAAACTATTTTTTTTTTTTACGAAAAAGATAACTGAATACATTTTGGCCAAGATTTATGAAGAAAGATTATTTATTTGCAAAATTTTATAAGAAAAGCACTTTTTTTTTTTCAAAATGTTCGGACTTTTTCATTTATATAGCAAAAAAATAAAAATCCCAGTGATGAATAAATACCATCAAAATAAAGTTTTATCTGTCTCAAAAAATGCTAACAAATTCACATGGGTACAGTGTTGCATGACTGCGCAATTGTCATTCAAAGTGTGATAGCACTAAAAGCTGAAAATTGGCCTGGACAGGAAGGGGGTGAAAGTGTCCGGACTTGAGGTGGTTAAAGAAAAAATAAGATGTAAGTTCTAAGCAAAAAAAAAAAAGTTATCAATATAAACCAACTGTGTGACAAACATAAAAATACTTTATATTTTTAAGAATAATTTTTAAGAAAAATTTGTAATTGAACATAAAGGAAGTGAAAAAGGTCTTACTTATTGCATCATTCGTTATACGCTTTAAGGGCTCATTCACAGCAGCAGGCATCTATTAAAGCGTGCATTACACATCCATGCTGGTGTGAGTTGTGCGTGTGAGTTGTGCATGCACTGGCATGCCTTGCAATGCATTTTTTTTGCTTTTTTTCAGAGCTGTATGTAATTATTATGCACTGCAGAGCTGCACACAAATCTTAAATTTTTGTCATACTTTCTTGCAGTGTCCCAAAATGCAGCATGTTGGTATGAACTAAAGAAAATTGCTTTGTTCTTGCATTGCTCCAGTGCTGGGCAATACTGTCCGACCCAGCCCTAAACAGCTGATGTGAATGAATCTTAAAATCCAAGTCTGGCCAAAATGTTTTTTTTTTTTGCCCTCAAAAGAGTAGAGGAATAGATGCCACTGGAACAGAAAGCCATATAAAAATGGCAATTCAAACCTTACCCGCTTTACTAAAAAAGTGTTTTTTTTTCCTATCACTTCTGTTCCCTGTAAACCTGTCTTCACCTACTTTCTCTGTAAACCCCTCTTCCACCAGAGTGGAGAAAATTCTCTCCAGTGAGAATACAGACAACAAAGAAACTATATCCGAAGTTCTTCATTCTATTCAAACCAAAAATTAAAGTTTTTTTGGCTGGTGTTGGGCTTTAAGGACTGTCTGCAGCAGTATCAATTTACAACATCATAATTATATGTTTCCTAACTCCCATGGCTGTCATGGAAAGATAAAACTGAACGTTCCACAGACTGTTGAAATAACAAATTCTCAGCATAAAACGTTAATATAAATTAAGATGCATTTTAATAAGATAAATCAATAGAGATTAAATCAACCGACTCATTAATATATATTGTGCATAACTACAAGGCCAATAACTGTCTGTAAACAATTTCATTGACCATGTTTTACATTTTGAGAACACAAAGAACAAAAATAAACGCCTTAAAGCACATCTCATTTTTCATACCCTTAGAATCTGATTTTCTCAGCATGCACATCCACTTGACAATCCATGTTTGCTAAACTCCCCATACATGGTGTGTTAAAATTACTTATTCCTGCAACAGGAAAAAAGTGATTAAAAGAAAATCCAGCCTGTCTAGTTGAGGTTGTAACAAATGGAGGATTTCAGTTGTAAATGTTTTCACTATAAGGTAATGTATTGTCTTTATTTATTATTTTTTTTTTAAGATAAAATGTATGAGATACTAGCTTGTTATAAATAATATATTCAATATAAGCTAACAGTTAAAAATGTAGAATTTGTAATCCTAGATGCTTGTATTTGTTGTATTGGTTTTACCCATTTTTTCTACAATGCAAGTTTAAGAATTGGCCGTAGGGTTGCCACCTCATCCCTTTAAAACGAACACATAATAATTACACGGGTTCTGAGGCTAATTTAAGGCAGATAAGGCATAAAATGAATTTAGTTACCACCTTAAACAGCCACAGAATTTGTGTAATTAATATGTGTTCAGTTTTAAAGGGATGAGGTGGCAACCCTAGTTGGCCGACATATTGAAAATATTATACTGCATGGAGTTGATGTACTAAAACTGGAGAGTGCAAAATCTGGCGCATCTGTGCATGGTAGCCAATCAACTTCTAACTTCAGCTTGTTCAGTTAAGCTTTGACAAAAAAAAGCTGCAAGCTGATTGGTTTGCACCAGATTTTGCACCCCCCCCCCAGTTTTAGTAAATCAACCCCCTAGGTGTGGCTCATATTTTATTTTAATAAATGGATAAGCTGGAGTGTAACACTGTGAAAGTCTTGGTCTAGGTTCACACCTGTGCATTTTGCAGAAATGCACTACAATACATTCAACACAATTTCATATGGACACATTCACATCTCTGTGTTTTAACCCGGTGCGTATTTTGGAAAGGGTCAGGGCCTTTTTTAAATCTAAAACATTGCGTTTTGGTTCAATAAATTCAATGGAGACACTGCAGAAATGCATGTAGTGCGTTTCTAATGCTTTTTTTAATGTGTTCTGGTTGCCTTTTTGATGCATTTTGCGTTTTAATCTGACCAGAAACAAGTTGGCAAAAAAAATGCAAAAAGCCGCAAAAATGCATGAAACACATGTGCAAAAATGCAAAATGCACCTCAAATAGCACTGCAGAAATGGATCAAATGCAAACTGCATAGGTGGGAACCGTGCTATAAAGCTACTTTAACCACTTGCCCTCCAAAGGATTTACCCCCTCTTCCTGACCAGGCCATTTGCGTTACGGCACTACATTAATTTAACTGACAATTGCACGGTCATGCAACGTTGCACCCAAATAAATTTTACGTCCTTTTTTTTCCCCCCACAAATAGAGCTTTCTTTTGGTGGTATTTGATCACCTGTGTGGGTTTTATTTTTTGTGCTATAAACCAAAAAAGTCTGACAATTTTGAGAAAAAAAACCCCAATATTTTTGGCATATTGGCATCTACAAATGGTGGTGTATATATACTGGAATTTTAGCGTCTAAAAATGGCGGTGTATATATACTGGAAATTTTTTTTTCACTAGTAATGGTGGCAATCAGTGACTTATAGCGGGACTGTGGGGGGCATTCTGACACTGGGGGGAACTGACTTGTTGCCACTGACATTCCCAGTGACACAATATAGTGATCAGTGCTAATAAAAAGCACTGACACTGTACTAATGGCACTGGGCAAGAAGAGGTTAACATGTGGGGCGATCAAAGGGTTAACTGTGTGCTGTTTCACAGTGTGCTGTGTGAGTGCTTTCCTTTGTAAGCACACTGATTTGTATGGCTCTGCTATGCAGAGCCTTACAAAGCAGTATACAGGAGTTGACAGGGGAGAGATCTGTGTTGTGTATATATACTGAGCGATCACAAGGTGCTGCGGAGAAATCACCGGACGGGACACAGTGATTGACAGCCGAGGCCGCCCTGTAGCAGTGTAAGCGGTTAAGATGAACACTTTAATAATAATATTTAATTACTCAACTTAAACAGTATTTAACACAAAACCAAAAATTTAACATATTGCAGCTTACCAATCCTTAGATGTGGTGCCTGCAATAGTTTTCTTTTTCTTAGGCTTTTTCCCCTCTGTTTTCACCTGGTGATCTGGCCAGTAACACACCTCCTGTATTAGAGTGCCCCCCACTCTAGATGAAGGAGCACAGGGGTACCTTTGGACAGCGGCCTAGTCAATCTGGAGGGAGGAGAGGATTAGATGTACTAGCAGATTTAGCTACACTGACAAATTTAAGTCAAACTCCAGCTAATACTTTATAAGCAGCTTTCTTTTTTTTTTTCTTTTTTTTGCTTTTGGTATAAGGGCTCAAGTACACGGGCATTTGGAAAAATCTTCTGAATGATGTCAACTGACTGCTGGAAAACATAGGTTAAAAAACATCAGTTTAGCTGCGTTTGCATACCGCTTTAATGCACGTTTATGTGCCTTTGCGTTTAGAAGTGTTTTTAAATATAACCTCAGGAGACCTTCCCAAATGCCCAGAATACACTGAAAAATAGTAAATAATTAACTATTTCAGACATTTTGAGAGAAATAGAGAGAGCAGAAGCAGATAGAGCAGTATGTGTTGAGATGACCTGTCTTTTCTGGTTGTATTCACTATGGATCCTATCATAATGAAGCACATTCTACCATGTTTTCCTTGGTAGACCTGAAACTGACTGCGCTGGTGTACCGGGCCCATTTGAATATATGGAAAACGCTTTGCATGCATTTCTGATGATGAAAAAAGGCTCTGGACAGCATTTGGACATGGAACAGTTAAAAAAACACTTCTAAACGTAAACGCTTATAAACACTGTTAACTGCATTTACAAGCGTTTACAAGCGTTTGAAATGCCAGTAAAATCTACTCCTGAACGCAAGTTTGGTGCATTAAAAAAAACAACTGTAAACTCAACTGCCTATAAACTTGACTATAATCCTGCTGTAAATGACTATGTGTACATGGACACATAGGAAAACATTAGGGAGAGTTCAGGGGCTGCTGAAAAAAATGCTGAACAGCTCCTGAATGTCAGTTTAGCAGGTGCAGTGTACATGAGCCCTAAATGTTTTGCATAAATAAATAAAAGCTGACCATTACCTGTCAGTGGTGAATGGTTTGTCTCATTCCTGTAACTGCTACATCTGCAGGACAGCTTGTTTTTTTTTTTGAAAAACAACAGACATACTGGCTGGATCACCAAGGGAAAATAAAGGAAAGAAATCCTAAAAAAGAAAACTCACATATAAGAATTGGTAAGCGACGATATAGTAAAAGTTTGCTTTTGGGTTTAATCCTGCTGTAATGAAAAATCACTATATGTTCCCTTTCATGCATTTTCAGTTTTTATGTGTTTTATTGTAGTCAGTTCATCTTGATATGCATGTGCTCCAGCATAGCTGCATCTTATTATATCAGGGTGGGCTTCCTGAGGATGACAACAGTGGACTTGTGCAATGTGTGTTAACATAGCAGCTGATAGTCCCCACTAAAACTGCATGTGACAGGGTCACAATCCAGTGGGACAATTGGAAAACAGACACAGAGTGCTGTCACCCCATAACAGAAGGAACCCATACAAAAAAATATTTATGGCACATTTACCAGGTACTAATTTAAATAAAGCAGCATAATTATTAAGACTGAGAATAAGCATGACATGTTAAAAAGGAAACTTCATTTTAATTGGTTGGGTTTCAATCTATTTAAACCTTTTTAAATGCATACCTGATAATGGCTGATCATTCAGGCATTGCTATAGTAGATGAGACCACTTGTAGAGCTACCCTCATGATTGGATAGGGTAATAGGGATTATGGGATGCCCAGTTTGACTTAAATTAATATGGGGGGCGGGGGATAACTTTCCTATGTTCTGAGACCTAGAATGTTCTTTTCCCTGAAAGCTGTGAGTCTTTGCAGATCAGTAGCAACAGCCCTTTATGAGTGAGGAACTAGCAGCCCTTAAAAAATTAACTTAGCTTCTTGCAACTACACACAGAGATGTCTCTTCTCCCCTGTAGATATGCTCCCAGCTCCACAGCCTGCAGACACTGCCAGCCTTCCTGGCTGCTCTGAGGATCTCCAGAGACAAGATAAAGGATTGAGCCCAACGCTCTCCCTTGAAAGCTTGCGCTCCCAGGTCTCAATCCCATTCATACTGCACTGCTGAAATCTATCCTCCTGAGCCAGCCCAAGCCCAGCCTAGAGGCTGCCCATCCCAGACCTAGGGGACCCCTCAAAGGCACTATCAGTTTTATCAGCACTGCATCTTCCACCCAACTCCTCTGTCAGCCTGACTTTCCCATGTTTATGGGCTAGTCCACCACTCTACCAGGGCTTCCAAACTTGGGATTGGCCAGACTCCCATAAACATGCAGATTAGGACACCCATTCCTGCTTACCAACTTCTGGAAGGTTCTATGGTTCACCAGAGTCAGGAGAAGGTGATAGAGATACAACATGTTAAGTAATCCAGCTGACCTGCAATAACCCGACCTCCAACACAGACTCACACAGCTACCATGAGCCATACACCATGATTTTACAAATAATTCACCACACTATTCTAGTAGCACACTAGAGAGTGCTACACACTCCAGTTTCTTCTGTTAGTAATCTGGTGGTTCCTTGCAGTCTCTACCATACAGAAATCACAATGCTACAACATGGCAGTACCAGGAGGTTTCTTCCAACAAGCAGTCAGTCAAACCTGCATTGGATGTTTAAATCTTACATATAGTTACATAGTTAGTCTGGCTGGAAAAAAGACAAAAGTCCATCTAATTCAACCATAAAAAAAAAAAAGCTATAATCCCACACCCATGGTTGATCCAGAGGAAGGCAAAAAAACCCAGCAAAGCATGATCCAATTTGCTCCTGCAGGGGAAAAAAAATCCTTTCTGATCCCCCGGGAGGAAATCGGATATTCCCTGAATATTTACCTATAAATGTTAGTATCCAGTTATATTCCGTGTATCCAAGAAAGAAAGAATCCAGGCCTTTTTTAAAGCAATCTACTGAGCTGGCCAGAACCATCTGGTTCATCCTGGAACCAGATCTGTGTCTGAACTGTCTTGGTAGCAACATACTATCTGAGTGCAGTGAGACAAAAGCCTGTGTGGCTAGCCTCCAACTAACAGGGACTAGCTATAGCTTCAGGCTGTACCTAGTGGATAGCTAGGGAAGCTATTTGTACAGAGTACCTCTTTGCAGAGTCCTTATTAGGAATCCAAGCATCCACCTAAGAGGAGGAAGAATTTTGCTCTGCACCCTTGAGGAAAGGAAAGGCTAATCCACAGTGACTAGACCTGTTTCTTCTTGACCGAGGATCCATGAGCTTTTGATATATACTGCTTATATATATCCGCCTTCTGGTGAGTGCGCATTTCTGCTACTTCCTCACGGATCACCATTGTGGATTTCCATTTGTCACCTGGCACGTTTATATGAACTGGACTTACAGTGGACAATTTTCAGATTTATCACTTAGCGCTGCATGTTTATTTATATTATTCTGTATAAGTATGTATTGGGTACTTAGAGTGCCTAGCTGCTTTCTGGATCAGCGCTCACTTTTTTCATTTTCTATAGAGGGTTTGCTAGATAGGTTTAGTGCAAATACAGTTATCTACCTCTTCAAACAATGTTTCTGTGGTCTCTTCCAAATAGATTCTTACTTGAATAACAGCTGTAAAGCGTTCTTGCAACTGAGCTGTTCAAGTGCAAAACTTTTTAGAGATGCCTCGCCTATGTTTATGGTAACAAATGAATCATCAGTAAAGGAAACTGTGTTTTTTCTTTATCTTGATTGATTGTGTCTGCATGCAGAAGGCTTTTTTTTATTTTTTGTAATATAATCTGTAAAGCAATATAATGTTCCTTCTCATTTAAAGCACAATTACTTATAGTATATCAGAAACAGTTGCAAAATATAATCTGCACCCTATACGAACTGTCATTCTTCACTCTAATGGGAAGAAACAGCAATTCACGCTCTTCTCACCAAGTCTAAAGTGGTAATGCAGCTTACTGTTCCAGCAACAAAGTTGCTATGGCAGAGGGTGGTGCATTCATTTTAACTAGAGGAGATCAGCAAATGGATGTTCACTGCTCTTCCTCCCTTCAACCTAGCGACCCCTGCCATGGGGGTTCTGGGCCTAAATGTGGGGGAGCAGAGCCCGGGGAACATGGCACAGCCACCAGAACACTTTTATCTGACAGCCGACATTTGGTTTCTCAGATTTGCTGTAGCAGCTGGGTGTCTGTGTAACTACCCTACATCCCCAGATGCACCACATTTGTTGGTGGAAACAAAGGATAAAGAAATTGTGTTTCAGTGTCAGTAACATACTGACAATCTGCAGAGTTGCAGCTTACAAAAAAAGTGTAATGGAAGAGAAATTGGCTAACAAAATTGCAGTAATAGAGTTGCTCAGAATTACATTAATAGCCAAGCCAAAGGGAGGTACTAGAGTACGGAATGGATGTAGATCCAAAAAATGTTAGTCACAATCTTTATATCATTTTTACTAAAGTTACCTATCTCTAATTTTGAAAGAAATTAATTGAGAACTTCAGAATTCAGTTTGGCTGAAAGAAATTGTAAGCAGCAGGAGCTATTACAACAATAATTTTAAGGAAGCACACCTTGCAAAAAACAAAGAAAAAGTTAAATGGGGTGTCCCCAAAATCCATATCAAACCCTCATCTGAGCATGCAACCTGGCTGGCCAAAGGTAGAAGGAGGATGCCCACCCTGAGCTATACCAGGCCACATACCTTGCACATTTGGAAGCTTCATTTTTTTAAAAAAGGAGGGGCTTTAGGTATGCCCCCCATGTGAATTACACATGGGAAGGGCTTCAGGTCTGCCCCCATGTGAATTGGTAGGGGATCACACCCTTACCAATTCACAAAAAAA